GACCCCACCTCTGGTCCTCAGGCCAAGCTGGGCCCATCTTTGGGTGAATTCATTTCAGGCTGAACTTTGTGTGAACCTGGGCCCGAGGGGAAGGGAACCCGACAGAGCAAGGCTGATGGAGGCAAGTTCTGAGCAAACCCATCAGCCTGAGTAAATATTGAACAAGTCCATGTGAAGCCTGGGGTTGAAATGGAGCTGTCAGACCGGTGTAAACTGAAAGGATAGGTGAGGCCTCTGAAAAGCAAGGAAACATTTTGTACACTCACTTCTGCAATTGTTCCTTCCACCCGAGCCCTTTGCCCCAGACCTCATTCCACCTGCCTAAGAGGCTAAAGCAACCCTGAAGCTGGTCGGCGCTGAAATATCTGTGTTGGTGGAAGCGAATGGCTGGGGGGCAGAGGGGTGAAAGAGGGGATGGCACTGTGGGGTGGCCCTGTCAGTGTAATGAGCCTGGAGCATCACAGCCAGGGTAGGACATGAGATGGCAGGTCGGAGGTCCCCAACATAAATCCAAGTGACCTGTGCAGCATCAATCCTGAAAAATAACTATACTACATATTTGATACAAATACAAGTGAAATATATTGTCTATAAAACGTATATAGTCTGAATAAACACATATATGCCCAGCTCCCAGGATCTAGCCCAGCCGTGCTGCTGGGGAAGTCCTCGGGGACGGGGAAGGGCTGTGGGGTGTGCAAGCTCTGCTGCCCAGTGTGATCCGAGGGCAGTTGCACCCACCCAGAGCTTCCCAAATCTGCAGGGATTTTTTTGGTGACACCTGAAAATGTGTCCATGTCAAAGTGTTGAGAGAACTTAGCAGGCATGAAAATCCCTCCTGGTTTACTGGATTGAGGGTGTATCGGCTCCCTGGCAATGCTGGTGCGTAAGCAGGTGCCTGGGCACCTTGCCACCTCGGTGACACCGACAGAAGATGGACCGAGCTCTGTTTCAGCTCTGTAACAAAAGCGTCTTGTCCTCGTCCTGCTCTGGTTTTCCCGAGAGCTGGGCAAGGGCTGGCCCTGGACTGATTCTGTGTGAAACAAGTTTGGAGAAATCCAAAAGGCTTCCTCCTCTCTTCTCCCCCACTTCAAGGCATCAAAGGTTTTTAGGGGCCAGCAATGGCCCAACTCAGCCACAGTGCAGTCACCAAGGGGAGGTTTTGTCCCCAGAGACCCCTAGGAAGGCTTCACACCTTCAGTGTACAGAGGCTCCAGAAGCAGAGCTAATAGCAGCCAGCAAAGGGGAGATGAAAGTCAGGAAGTCTTCAGCGTATTATTATTATTATTATTTTTTAATAGAATGTCTTCTTCTGAGATCAAAAGGGCCTCACATTGTGAGAACAAATGCTTTAGGGAGAGGAGAAACATTTCACACCAAGGAGTAGGGAACAGATGGCCCCAGAGTAGCTGCCACATCGGGCCAGAGCACCGGGTGTGCTCCTCAGGCCTCTGCTCTGGGAGCAGAGCCAAGGGAGAGGGACTCTTGGCGTCCCTTCCCCATCCCCTCGTCCTGCAGAGGGACAACAGCTCCAGCACGGCGACTGCCATTAATAATTTACACGGTTATGTTTCTTTAACTGGGAATTTCCCCTTCCTTTGGGATATTAAAAGAATAAATCTCCATTAAGACACGTCTTTGTGTGTGAGCGTACGGGGGGACTCGGCCAATTTTCCTGCTCATGAAAAATGCAATACCAGGGACTCATGGACGGACACATGGAGATACGGGAATGTGGCGGATTATAAATAGCCACGTCATTATTTATCACTTATATAAAACAAAGGAGTGTGTATAGACCTCATATTTGTAATAACGCCCAACTATGGCCGTCGGGGTAAGTCTCCATAGGGACTTGTGCACGTCGGTCTGTCTGTTTCTGTGCAGTCTGCGCCAGTGTACGGTGGTAAGGAGCACGTGTTCATGTCCCATATGGATACATAGGTACCTGTGTGGGTACTGAAGTACCGGTGCCCGCTCTCTATCTGCATCTCTGGCTGTGAGGTCAGCATGGGTGTCCCTCACCGCTTCACAGGAGCATCTGGTACCGGTCAAGGGACCCCCAGCTGCGGTGTCCTGGCGTGGCTTTTCCAGCCGTCTCCTACTTCACAGCAGTGGGTTTCGGGCTCTTGAGACAAAAGGGAGCGTGAGAAACTTGGAAGGAGAGCGGGAGGGGGGAAGAGATGAGCTGTGCGCGGTGATCGTTGTTAGAGAAAGGCTCAGCAGCGAGGGAGGCAAAGGGAGCGGGGTGAGGGGGGAGCCCGGAGGGGGCTACATATGTAAGGGCGCGTCGGCACCGTCTCTGCGGACTCTTCCGGAGACTCCCTTTGACTTTCAAATGGGAGCTGGGGGCCTTTGTTGTGCCCGACACACTGACACATCAGTGCCCTCCTTTTTGTCCCGGCCTTTCCGCTCTCCCCGGGCTCTTACGGGGCCGGCCGGCCCGGCGCTGCCCGCCTCACCTGGGAGCGAGCGGGGCTCCGGGCCCTTTCCCGGCCACAGCAAGGCCCAGAGACATAACCGGGGACGAAAATCGTCTCTGCGGAAACCCACGAGCTTTCTGAAGCACAGCACCCTGTTTCGATGAGACAGCTTGAATCACACACGTTCAACAAAACCTTCCATCGCGTTGGCTCAACGAATAGTTTAAACCAAGTTGACTCGCACCCAACAGGTTATAAAGTCAGTTTGGCTGCCTGTGCGCTTTTTTTTCTTTCCCTGTCTTGATGTTTTGCAAATTGCTAGTGAACCAGAATCCTCTTTTCACCCTTTCTCCCTCTTTTTTTTTCTTGTTTTGTTTTGGTTTTGGTTTTGGTTTTGGTTTTCTTCCTTATCTCTAAGCTAATTGGACACTCAAACCTCTTTTATTTCCATCAAGAGAGGTGTATTAGATGGAGGAAGATTGTATCGCCGGGGAAGAGCGATGCTCTGTCGCCCAGGGACCTCCAGGTGAGCGGGGCCGGGTGTCCAGGCTCGGCCGCAGTCGCAGCAGGTTCTTTGCTCGTTCCTCTCCCCACTCACGCCCCCACCGAAAAGGTTTGCAAATTTGACGAAGCCAGAACAATAGTTTCTCCTGGCAGCCCCTCTGTTTACTTGTTTAGAAATCCCAGAGGCGTTTCGAGGTAAAAAGGTCAGAGCTATAACCCGGGCTCGCTGCCCCCTCCCTCCTCGCCCGGCCCCCGGACGGCTCTGCCCCGCAGCGCTGCCGACATCGGTACCCGCGCCGGGCCGCGGGCTCCATCCCCCGCGAACTGGTCTCCTGTGTTACTTATACCGTGGAAAACACCCTTTCAGGGGTCGCCTTGGGTTTCGAGTGTCGCCTTGGGAAGCTGAAGGGAGGAACCCAAACTGACGCTTCGTATTGGTTTTGAGTTGGGTCAGCCTCACGGAACTGTTCCGTATAAATGAGAAACTCGCTTTGCCCCCGCCCCGCAGCCCCAGTTCGTTCCAGTTAATGTTGCTGCTTCAGTACTGCAGATCCGCTTCCGCGCCGGGATGCTTACACTGAGGATGATGATGATTTTCTGTTCTCATCAGCCCTCGGTGCACTGTGGAATAACTCCACGTGGGGAGCGCCGCGTTTCTATCCGGTCCCGTCTGGGCAACCTGCTTTGAGCCCCCCCGAAGCGGAGGCGAGCGCCGGACCCGATCCCGTCGATGCCAAAGGGGGTGCGGACGGGTACCCGCAGGAAGCAGGATCGGGTGTTTTTGTCTGGGAGCTTTGGAAGCGGCCGGAGACCTTTTCCTTCCTTCTCCTCCCTCCGAGCCCGAGCTCCCCCCGCCCCGTGTCGCACATTTCCCTGGCCGGGAGAAATTTCCATTTCGCTTAAAGTCGAGAGGACTTGCATGTGGAAAAAGTAAACTTTATTAGACTGAGGTAGTTTCATTTCGAGATACAGAGCACGGGAAAGGGAGTGGAGGGGAAATGGGAGATTCCGTTTAAGAAACCGCTAGTTTTTCTCGGTGACGTTTTGCCCTTTAAAACAATCTTGAACAAAAGTTGCCGTGGTTTTCAGTTCGTCCTACCCTACAGTTTCTCGTGGGGAAAGGAAATACTTTCGCTGTGGTTAAATAATGTTTTTATCGAACTCCGACAAGCCTGAAGGGGGGGGGGGGGGGGGGAAGGTAGAAGGAACGTGCCACTTCGCTCCAAGACTTCAGGCTATCGAAAACGTACAATAAATAGCAGCCAGTGCATCCGTGTCTAGGGGATCCAAGCCCCGCGGCCACCCCGCAGCCTTGTTTCCATCCACCTTCACACCTCCACGACAGTGACCGTTGCCCGAAGCACCCCGAGGTCAGCCTTCGCCTCGTCTCGTTTTCTCTGCTAGCACAACCCTCCCTCCCCCAGGATCAGGAGCAGTCACAGTCGCAGAGAGCACAGAAAAACCCTGTAAAGCGGTAATAGTGCAAAATGGTAGCAGGGGAGTTGCATTTTTTTGCTTGGTGGTTGGGTCTTTGCAAAGGCCTTTAGCATCTCGGGCGCCTCAGATCTCGTTCCGAGATATACATACAGTAAATCAAAGGGAAACAAACAAACAAACAAAAATACCCAAAACTTTTTTTACAATCTCGCGGGGACGAAAAACACATCGAATGCAGGATTCTTGCGGGCGAAAGTCGTTGTGCACATTTTTAAAACGGGAGAAAACTAAATTCGTTTTAAAGTTTCGGTAGTTGAAAGTGCAGTTCCTATGGGGGCGGGAGAAGGGAGAGGGAGAAGCATCCCTGAGACAAACGCCTATCGCTAAGGATGTACGAGGACACGGCCGCTCCTTTGGAGCCTGGTGTTTTACAGAGGGTCTATAAATTAAAAAAAAAAAAAGAAACACG